ATGAGAGCAGAGTAACTTCCATAGTACCGACAGTGCATTTCATCCTAAACATTTACTCTGAGCTATTCAAATTGCAAAGAATCAGGATATTGTGCAAAAGCACTTCTCTTGAGTAGTCCATCTTCTTCACTTTTCTCAATTTGTCCCCTCTTCTTCATCCTCAGTTAATCCCTAACATCTGTCTTTAGTTTTTTTGTGAGAGTTCCTAAGTGGTCTCCTTTTCTTCAGTTGACATTTTAAAAATTCATCCTCTGTGTCATTTCCAGGAGTAGCTTTTTGTCATAAATGGGATTGTACTATTCCTTTGTTTGAAAATTCTTTATTGTTAGCATAAATAAATTGTACAAGGCATTTCATTGTGATATTCCATACATGCATGTAATTGATCAAATTCACTCCCTCTATATTGTTTGAAATTTTTCAGTGGTTTCCTGTTGCCTGCAGAACAAAGGTTGCTCCTTTTATAATACCATTGAAGGCCTTCCTTCAGGTCAGATATTATCTAGTACTTTGTTTCCTTTGATTCTCTGTTTCCATGGCTCAAATATTATGCAAATTATTGTGAGTCTACTCCTTTAGATCCTTATATATATATTTCTCTTGTTCCCTCTGCCTACCCTGTCATCCCACTTTCAGACTCTCCTATCTTTCTTGCCAGACAAAGGATTGTCAACATTCAGGTCCAGAGTGTCTTCTGTGAAAATTTTACTGATACCCTTCAGTTATCCCTGTTATCCTGATATTCCTCCTGTGTGTCTCCATCATTCCCTGCATTGATGTCTCCTTTGACACCTGTAACAGTTTACTGTATGTCTATTTCTCCTTAATTCAGTATAATTTCCCTATCAAAAGCCAAACTTCATCCTGTCTGCTCATTGTTTATTCTTCCTAATAGTCAAACCTTACCTAGTACGGGGCACATATTAGGTGCTCAATAAGTGCTTTATAAATTGAGAGGTAAGCCTAGGTGATAAATGCATGCCATAACTTGCAAGCATAGACATTGGAATTTAGGTGAGAAAGCTCATGACAAACAGGGGCTAAGAAACTATTTCTTTCATATTTTTGACTTGTCCTCAAGAATGTCAGATAAAGATTTTCTTTCCTGATGCAGGCTATAAAACAGCTCTTTGACCTTGGGGATGCCACTTTGCTCTCTGTGCCTCAGATCCTCTGTTGTGACATTCAGGGGTGGTCTATTGTGATATAGTGTAGGGTAATTCTAACAACTTTGGCACCAGGGTTGGAATTCTGCATCTTTCTGCATTGTTACCTGAGACAAATCTTTTATTTTTCTTCCATTTCCTCTGTAAACTGGGCACATAATACTTACTTCATTAGGTTGCATAAGAAGTAAATATAGAGTTTATAAAGTACATGTAACTTGGTTCTTTCCCTTTTCTTCTGAAAGCAGTTATTTTACCTGCTTAACAACAAAAGGCTGTTTATGAAGACATCTGCAAAATGTAAAACACTACATAAAAGTATAGCTTCTCTTTGAACTGATTTATGTATGTTTGAATAAACTCGTGTGAATTGGCAAGGTGAAACAGTTTTCAGCACTGGGTCTGCAGGTTTGGGAATAAGACTGTCCATAAATCAAAGGTAAAGAAGAGCCAGGTGCCAGTAACTCACACCTGTAATCCTAGATACTGGAGAGGCTGAGATTGGGAAGATCACAGTTCAAGGTCAGGCTTAGCAAATAGTTCATGAGACTCCCCAAAATAAGAAGAGCAAAATGGACTAGAGGTGTGGTTCAAGTGGTAGAGTGCCTGCTTCACAAGTGCAAAGCCCTGAGTTCAAAATTCAGTGTTACAAAAAAAAATATGGGAGAGGAGACCCAGTGAGCCATAGGCAAAATATGCAAATGGAGCTGCTTTTGAAACTTTTGCAGTTTTTAAGGGAATTTGGAATTTCTTTTTGGGTGGTACCAGAGTTTGAACTCAGGGCCTCATGCTTATTAGGCAGGTACTCTACCATTTGAGGCACTCCATCAGCCTTTTTTTGTGTTGGGTATTTTCAAGATAGGATCTCTCCAATTATTTGTCTGGGCTGGCCTTGAACATTGATCTTCACGATCTTTGACTTCTGAGTAGCTAGGATTATAAGTATGAGTAGAATCTGGGATTTTTTTTTAAAGCAAGCAACTATTTTATAAACAGAGGCTTCAGGATCCCCACAGACAAATCCTAAACTGGCACAAAATCTGGTCCTTTTGTGCAACTTGATTTTTTTTTACCCAAACTGCCTTGTCTTTTACTGTCTGTGATTCTTTCTTTTGAAGGTGTTCCTCACGTTCTGATATTTAATATCCATTTCTTTATTTCTTGCTGTCAATGTTTTCAAATATTTCTGCAGTGCCTGGCACATGTTTCATGTATATTTCATGGTATCTCAAATTCTGACAGTTCAGTGTCCTTACCTAAGTCCTTCAGTGTCCAGCCATAAATAGGCACTGTTGGATCCTGGGTAGGTTGGCCTTAGTGTAGATGATGGAGGGGAAATACTGTGTTTGAAGGTGAAGTCTTTTGAAGATTAGTTGTACCAGACTGCAATGTCATCCTTTCAGCCTTCACCTAGGCCCTGTCTGAAGGGCAGACTTAGAGAGTCCCATCATCATGATACTTCTGCTTGTTCCAAAGTGTCCTCACCATGCACACTAATCTCCAAGGCCCACGCTGAATAAGTACATTATATATGCATGTGAAAACAGCATAATAAGGCCATTAAAAACTGTTAAAAGGAGGGGAAGAAAGAGGGGCGTTAATACAAGGTGAGTTTGATCTAAGTACATCATGTGCATGTATGTAATGATCACAATGAAATGCCTTTGTACAATTAATTTATGCTAATAAAATTTTCTTTAAAAGTACTAGCCTCAATAAAATATTGGAAAATTGAATCCAGCAATGCATCAAAAAGATCACACACTGTGATCAAGTGAGTTACATTCCAGGGATGCAGAGATAGTTCAACATATGCGAATCAATAGATGTAATACAGCACATTAACAGAAGCATGGACAAAAATCACATGATCATCTCAATAGATGCAGAAAAAGCATCTATTCATCATCTTCTCATGATAAAAGCTTAGAGGAAACGAGGAATAGAAGGAATGTACCTCAACATAATTAAGGCTATGTGTGACAAATGTATAGTCAACATCACATTAAATGGAAAAACTGAGATAAATCATTTCCTCGAAAGTCAGGAATGAGACAAGGGTGTCCACTCTGCCCACTCTTATTCAATATAGTACTGGGATTCCTAGACAGAGTAGTAGTAATAATACAATTTTAATATAATGTACTTTGATCGTATTCACATAGAGGGAGGGGGAGGGACATATACATTCACTGTCATGAAATTCTTCCCTTGGGAGGGAGAGAGATTCTACCACAGGCTCAGTGGCTACTCCTAAATGACCTTGAATACAACGTGCTTTTTTATTCTCTCCTGGTACTCAAAATAGGTATTGAGGGTGAAAGATATTTCTTAGGTAGTTTTTTGCTCTGAACTGCTGCCTGGCCTGCATGGGTATGCTGTGTGAGCCTGACGAAGAGCGACGGGGAACGAGAAATAAAACACACAAAACATACAACATAAAACAGAACGCTGGTATCAGGAGGGCTTCACGTTCCTGATGGGAAACGTGAGCGCCTACCTGAGCCAGAGTGTTTATTTTATTAGGTCAGTACAAGGAAAAGACTCAGGTGAAAATCAAGCTTTAACAATTCTTGATGCAAGGTGAAAGGAATGAGGTTTGGTGGGCTAATTGTCCTTAGGCTACAGAAGCTTAATTACAACACATCAGTTCTGGAACCATCAAGGCATGCAGGACACCTTATCTAAGGTATTGATTAATCTGGCATCAGGGAGTTTTCCTAATAGTTCTGGTACTTCATCTAGTTTTGCATCGGGGGCTGGTATGCAGACACAGGGGGTTGTATTCTTCAAGGAAATGTGAGCACAAAGGTCAAGACACCAGGTACTGGGGAAATTATGGTAGAAGAGGCTGTGTAAACTCCATTATTCCCAGTCCATGGTCATGCCTGGTCCCCAACAAACTGCAATGACTTGTCTTAAATTATCTATGCATTTAGATAAAATACTATAGTTTTGCTTCTGTAATAAAAGCCCTGAGGGTAAAATGGAAATGGGTTAGAGGGGAAAACAAAGCTCAGGTTAACACAAAAGAAACTATCATTGTGGATTTTGTACAGATATGTCCCCAAACTATGCAATTAACATTAAGATTAAGCTCCATGGGCAAATCAGCAGAATGGACTCAAAGTTAGGAAATAATCGTTTTATGCATAGATTTGTTCATATATATATCTGACTGAACGCAATTTAAAACATTCCTCTTTCTTCACTAATTGGTGAAATATATTTAAAATGCAGTGCTCAAAATATAAAATCAAGAAGTTACTTTAAGGGCTGGCAGAGTGGCTCAAGTGGTAAAGTAACTGCTTAGCAAGCATGAAGTCCTGAGTTCAAACCCTATACCACCAAAATGAAAATAATAAAAAGTAAGTTATTTTAGTTGTTAGCTGTAAATAACCACTAGAGATAGTGTTATGAAATAGATATGTCTATGTCCTGTGTATATGCATATTTAGGAATAGAGGGATAGGTACTAAGGAACACTAATTGAATTCATGATTGCTGGAAGCAATGCTAACCTTCACAACTACCATCTTCACAACACTGGCCACACTTCGTTCTCATGACAACTTTGTGAGTAGCTAATGCTATTTGTATGTCAGAGGTGGTAAAAGTGAGTTTAACTGTTAGTATTAGAGGAAAAGATAATACTAAAAGCTTATCAATATAAGATTTCAATCTTATAGCCCATACTTCTCACCAGTCAGCAAGCCAGATAGCTCATATTGTTCATTCTCACTTCCTTTTGCTCATAATTGCCTCTAATACAGTTGAGTGGCTAGAAGACATATAGTAAAATGACTGAAGAGAAATAAGCCAGTTAAATAGGCTATCAGTCAGAGAAAACTACATCAGTGTTAGACATTTAGTCTCCGTTAAATGGCTCACCCCAGTTTCCTGTTCTCAGAAGGCCTGAGCCTCCTCTGCAGCCTCCTCATGGCTGACTTCATTTCTTGGTTCCTCAGGGTGTAAATCATTGGATTCAGCATGGGGGTGATGACTGTGTTATTGATGGATACGGCTGTGTCCATGGGCAAGGTAGTGAAGGGCCGGCAGTAGATATAAACACAAGGCACAAAATGCAGGGTTACCACCAGCATGTGGGAGGTGCAGGTGGAGCGGGCCTTGTTCCGACCTTCCCCAGAGTGGGATCTTAACATTACCAGAATGACAGTGTAGGAGCCCAGGAGCAAGAGGAACCACAGTAGGGTCACCAGCCCGTTGTTGGAGATCAGGAGAAGCTCCAAAACAAAGGTATCAGTGCAGGCCAGCTTTACCACCTGGGGCACATCACAGTAGAAGGCATCCAGGATATTGGGACCGCAAAAGGGAAGTGGAAGCATTAGAATTATCTGGACAATTGAATGCAAACCACCACCTACCCAAGAAGCCACCACCAAGGCCACCCCTACTTCTCGCCTCATAATGATCACATAGTGCAAGGGTTTGGCAATTGCAAGGTATCTATCATAGGCCATCACAGAGAGGAAAAAAATATCTGCACCACCAGCAAAGTGGAAGAAAAATATCTGTGCCATGCAACCATTGTAGGAGATGGTTTTCCTCTCAGATAAAAGATCCACCAGGAACTTGGGGACTGTGATAGATGAAAAAACAATGTCCAGGACTGATTTGTTCCTCAGAAGAAAGTACATGGGAGTGTGGAGGCGGGACTCAGAGGTGATGGTGACCACAATGAGGGCATTTCCCAACACAGTTGTTATATACACAAAAAGGAAGACCACAAACAAGCAGAACTCCAGCTCTCTCAAGTGTGTAAGTGCCAGGAAGACAAACTCCTTCACATTGGTGTGGTTGATCTGGTTCATGATGGGATGACCTTCTTCCACGTCCGCCTTGGGAGAAGAGATGTTAGTGGTAGGAGAATGGTGTCATGAGGTGGCAATATCACATATCGTTATATTATTCTAAGGTTCTTTTTCAAGCATTCAGATAATCATGAGTACTTAGAAAAACTGGGCAAGGGTCCAGAGTCTTCCTTTTGTAGTCTAGAAATTCTTATTTTTTTGGTGGTATTTGGGGTTGAACTTAGGGCCTTGTGCTTGCTAAGCAGGCCTTCTACTATTTGAACCATGCCTCAAACACTTTTTGTTTCATTTGTTTTTGGGATAGTGTTTCACATTTTTGCCTGAGTCCATCTGGATTGTGATCCTCCTATTTATGCTTCCTGCATAGCTGAGGTGACAGGCAAGAGCCACCATGCCCAGTTATTGGTTGAGATGGGGGGTGGTCTCACTAACTTTTAGCCAGGGCTGGCCTTGAGCTGTGATCCTCCTGATCTCAGCCTCCTGAGTAGCTACAATTACAGGTGTGAGCCACTGTGCCCAACCTTGGAAATTTTTTATCCTGATGGTTCTTCTTTCCTATTGTACATAGCCTGGGTTTATAGGAAGAACTCTCTCGCCTACTCTGCCTGGAGAGAGATGAGTGGATTGTGGTCATTGCCTATCGTTAATCTTCTGTGCTGTAAGAGTAACTTTAGCATATGCATGCTCTGTTTTATACGTTTCCAAGGACCATCACCTGCAACATCTCATTTTGATTTTATTTTTCATGAAGTCCCCGTGAGATTTTTAGAATTGTTGTGATTTTCTCCATTGTGTAAATGGGGAACTGAAGCTTAGAGCAGTTAATGACTTGTCCATGTCTGCATAATTGCAGAATCAGTAAATAGAAAATCAAAGATTAAAATCTAAATCAATTTTCTGACATGGCAAAGACTTTCTCCTTGATCAAATTTTGGTCAGGCTCCTCTGAGCTCCCTTTGCAACATAGCCTCAGCCATGACCTTCCATGTCTTCTCTTGCCAAGTTCAGTTTCAGCAAGAAATCCTGCTAAGAAATAACCATCTTTTTAAAAATTAAAAGCATAAGTTCTTTTTACTTTTTGACAGATTTTTATACTTTATTTTTATTATTGTTGTACTGGGGGTACATTGTGACACTTACAAAATATATCAAAGTTGAATTCACCCCTTCCATCATTCTTCTTTATCCCCCTATCCCCATGCCTGGAATAGTTTTAGCAGGTCTCATTTTCCATTTACATACATGTGTGTGGAATATTTCTACCATATTCACCCTTCTATATCCTTCCCCAAGACAGGACCTGTTTTGCCTTCCTGTTCTCTGTTGTTAAAAAATGACATTTTTTAATGTCTCTTTTTTAAAAGTAATTTTTTAAAAAGATAGCTATACAGGGTGTTTCATTTTGACATTTTCATGTTTATATGTATTATAACCTGAATTGGTTCATACCTTCCTTCTATTTTCCACATTAGTCCCCCTTTTATGGTGATTTCAACTGGTTTAAAAATTCTATATTGATTCTTGTATTGGAAGAAATCCCCACCCTTGATACCTGATAAAATTCTTCTTCCACTACCCTTGCTATGAAAATCCTTGTATCTAAGTCCTTGGCCAGTCTTTAACAAGAGCTCATTTAACCCAGTTTTATAAGAATCATCCTACTCTTGATGTCACCTTTTAGTGATTTTCCCTTCACTGATTCCATGTCTCTCTGCTCATTGGCTATAAATCTTCACTTGACCTTATTATATTTGGAGTTGATTTCAGTCTCTCTCTACTATTGCAATAGTTTTGATTCCAATTGCAGTTGTTTTGCATAAAATCCACCTTGTTTTTTGATGTTGTTAATAAGTGTCTAGCGAATAATTTTTCTAGAACAGATTCCATAAGTTTTGTGACTATGTCACTCTCACATATCAGAGAGTTTGGGTATCAGAATTCTAGTGGATAAATAAGGCTTAAACCATGAATTAAGTATCCCAACTGCTTGACTGTCATCTCCAGGCTTAAAGGAAGAGAAGAATCAGGCTCTCATGAATACTCCCGTTCAGCAATACGAGAAGCCTGAACCTCAATGTGTGCACATGGGGCTCTTGGTAGAAAGTATGACCTTCCACAATCATTTAGGGCATGTTAAAGCATCACAGAAAAACTGGTCAATAAGGTTTCACAAGATTTAAGTTGGGTGTGGTGACTCACACCTGTAATCTCAGATGTTGGGAGGTGGACACTGGGAAGAAAGTCATTTGAAATCAGCTTGGGAAAGGAAAAAAATTAGTGAGATCCCCTTCCCAACTCAAGAAAAAATACTGGGTTCTCATTCATTTGTGGAATCTTGGTGAATGACAGTTTTAACCAAGGTCATTTACTTGTATTCCAGAATTTTCCACTAGTCATATTATAGCAAAATAGCTTCTTTTTCAAATCAGAAATCATTCATAAGAAGTCAAAATAATTTTCAGTAAGACTATCTGTATATCCTAATAATTCATACCCCAGATAATTAGATAATTCTTATCTCTTTATCCTCCTCTCACCCCCTTTTTCCTTCCCATTCCACATCCCTAACAGTATACCTTTTATTGTTAAGGTATTGATTTTTTGTTGTTATTCTGTTCAGATGACCAAAATCCAATTCAGCAGTATAAAGTAGACAGTTGGCATTTGAAGTAATGGAATTGTGTGTGACAGGGATAGGCTAATAAAGAAGAGAGTATACCAGATAAAAAAATATATAATACCTGCCCCAGAATAAAGGCAGAATTTAGTAGTTCATAAATAATCTAGTTCTTTTTTATTGTGAACTTTTTATTAGGATATATTCATTATACTGGGGGGGATTCATAGTGACAATTCTGATTAAGCTTATATTGTACATTGGTTGGATCACCCCCATAGTCTCTCCTTCTCAACTCCCTTCTCATCCCACTTAAAGTAATTGCAAGAGGTTTCTTTGTTCAATTTCATATAAGTATATGAAGTCTATATATACTCTCACCTTAATCACCTTCATTCATCCTCCCCCTCCCACTACTACCCCCATACTGTACCTATTTTACAGTCCTGTCTTTCATTATCAATAACAATCTAGCTCTTAATGTTTCTTTTTTCTTTAGTTTTATGGCTTAATTTGAAGGGTTAGGACATGCAGAAATTCTCTTAAATAAAAATCTTGTGAGTTCCCTGGATTTCTGATGTTCCTACAATTAAAATAATTTCATTTTTGTGGAAAATGAATTGCTGCTTTTATTTTAATGTTTTGGTTAATTTTAAAACAATTTTTTTTGGCATATACTTAAGGTATGCAGTCCAATAGGAATCCTACTTTAATATTTCATCTCCCAGCAACATGTTGCCTAAGGCTGGCACTTTTAATTGTTTTGTTTTTATTTTTTATTGCCATTGGAAATAGCAAAAACCTATGCAGATGATATAATCTACTTAGAACTATGTTACTACCTTTATATCAAGGTGTCTTCACCCTGTGTTGAGGACAAGATCTATTTAATTCTACCCATATGAGGCTCCAAGGGAAATAGTTATTCTAGACCCAAGTACAAGGGAGTTACCCTGGGCCATGAATAACAGTCATCTTAGAAAATGAAGGCTTTGTAACCACATATCTTTTGTTTTGAGTATGAATTGTACATACTCAAAATGATATGCAGGGCTTAATTTCCTACTCATATTTTTTATGCACAGCCTCTTCGCAGTTTATTTACATTTTGTTTCATTACATGTATCTTGTCATTGCTGTGAAATCTCCTTGATTCTGTAGAATGTGGTGAGTAATACATTGGTTATTAAGGTACAGACCGATTTTCATAGGTATATCACAATCACCCAGGTGGAAAGTAGCAATAGTTACAAAGGCCAGAAGGGAAGGAGGCACTGGCCAGGGAAGTGCAGTAGTCTTGAAAGACAGGAGCTGAGAAAGGGAGTGTGGAAATCAGACCAGACCAGTGGTGTTGGGAGAAAGGCTTGCTGAATGCATCGGAGAGAAGGGCCTACAAAAGTCCTGGGCTTCCCTCTTCAGTTGGCCTACTTAAGCCCTAATTAGTATTTAAAATAATGAAGCACTTAATATTTTTGTACGTGTACTTTTGAATGCGTCTGTGATTTTTAAGACAAATTAGAATGTAAACTTAAAAAGTCAAATGATATGTTAGTTTTCTAATTATAACTGATGATTAAGATGGAATAAAGAAAGTTTAATTCTAAATGTGTTCAAATGTTTGATTTTTTTCTAACATCTAGATACTATGAGCTGAAATAAGCTGCAATATCTTTTAATATATCATAGAAAGGAAAGCTAAAATTTTATTACCTTAATAATATAAATATCAACAATTAAAGCAATTAAAATATCAGAATAGAGTTGAAGTAAATGTTTTCATAATTTTTGGACTTAAAGAGTATTATATGAAAGATTACTAGATTTGACTAAGTTAAGCATAAAATGCCTATTTTTCAAAAGCATTATAAACGTGCTAAAACTAAATATAAATGAAAAAATTGGGAAAATATCTATAAAGCGTAATACAAAATAAACATTTTAAATATCTTTGAAATGAATATATTATGTACTTAAGTATGAAAATGGAAAAATGACATCTATTGAAACTATTCTAAGAATGGGGGAGGAGAATAAAGGAGAATGATGGAGTGGGTGAATTCAACTATGATATACTGTAAAAACATTGATAAAGTCATAGTGTACCCTCAGCACAACAATAATATAAACAAAAATTTTAAAAAGAACTCTTATAAATCAATACCAAGCAGACAGATACTTTAAAGCAAAAATGGTTAATATATCATGTAGAAATATTGTTGGTCAGCCCACATGTGAAAAGTTGGTCAGTGGTATTATTAATGAAAGAAATGCAAATTAAAATTTCAATGAGTTATTATTTCTCATCTGGAATATTGCCAATACTGAAAAGGTCCATTATTAGCAAGACAGTGGGGAAAGAGATACCTTCATATATGGGTGTTAGGAGGGTATATCAGG